CAGACTCTGCCATCGAGTATGAGGTTTACATTAGAGGATGAAATTGATACAACAGCGAAGAGCAAACAGAGCTCAAGCGAATGTTTGGTTACGTGAAGCAGCACCCGATGCCTGCATGTGGCGCAGCCGTGTAAGAAAGCTTTGACGAATAACCTCTAAATTCGAGCAAGCGTGATTCCGCAATTACTGCGCAATTCGCTTATAAGTGGTTATGCGTATGTACTAAGGGTGGTGTTGGTCGCTTGTTCTTCGAGTATTGCTGCGTGTTTTAACTTAGTTACCCACGGATACAAATGTTTAATCGATCGATGTGCATAAGTCAAATCTCTTGACAGTATATCTACCATTTAATGGTTGGCATATACTTACTTCTCAATGCAGGCAGACGCACGTGCTTCCAGTTTAATGAAACTATCAGTTTGAAACAATTTCTCTAGATGAGAATACAAGAACTATGTGAGAGCCATGGTTTGTGTTGCAAATATGCCAGAGAATGTTTGACTTCCGGAAGCGGATGTATACAATTAAGTCTAAAGTCAAGGAGGTCACTGTATAAACAGGTAGTAGTGATAGAACATCGTACAACAATTTGTGACATTTGTTAAATTATAACAATCATGGTCTTTGGTCTAGATTTAAAATCACTCAAAAATGTTAATACAGGATTGGTGGCAGCCGGTATCACTCGCCGGAGCAAGGAACGCTTTATTTAGATGCTTATCACGAAAAAGGACGCAAAACTCAATGCCCATTATTTGGGAAATTCAAACACGTGATAGTTAAACAGAAGGCTTTCCAACCGTACAGTGCCGTCAGTGCCTTCAAATCATTTGTGCGCTTCATCATTAATAATTGATATTTGTTACCGTTATTGTGTTACCACAAATAAAACGAAAAGCGTTCGCAAAATTTGCAATCACATGTTTGTTTAATCGTATTAATATCTTTAATTTACTCGTGAGAATCAATTCAATAGTCCAAACTCATGGATATAATGGACATCTATAAGTTAAAATGTTTTGGAAAACTGGTAGCTCGGGTTGATAATTCAATTGCTCATTTGTTCGCCGAGCTGCGAAATTGGTTTGCAAACGTTTCACCGTCATGCGAGACGGCATCATCAGTGCGTCGAGATATGCAATGTAATCTCGCTGATTGAATTGTCGACCCGTGATCGGCGTGCAGGTGACATTTCGAAAGTGACGGCTTCGATCTGAGTCCCGTGATCTCTACCCATTTCCCCGTGGCGGAGGTCGTCGCTTGGGTTGTTCCTATTCAAGCTGCGTCTAATAATTTCTCTAAGTTCTCTCCGTCGGAGGGGTTGGTAAACCGGGTCAATCTCGATATGCATGTTGATCGAGTCTTGTGTTGAGAAGCACGCTTCCAGGAATTCCCTTGCTCTTCTTGATTCACCTCGTGCCAGGACTTCTGTGTTGGCCCAGTCGAAGCTGTGTTCTTTTTCATCCACATGTGCTGAGACTAGCGAAGATGCATAGTGTTTTTTGCATGCTCTTTTATGCACTTGTGATCTTGTTGTTAATTTTCTGCCTGTTTGGCCAACGTAGTCCTTTTCGCAATTGCTACAAAGTAGTCTATATACAACATTGCTTTGCTCATGAGCTTCCAGTTTCTCTTTCGGTTTCGACAGAGTTTTTCTCAGTGTAGCAGTTGGTTTGTGTGCTACGATGAAGTGATGTTGTTTGAATAGTCTTGCTGCCATTTCGGATATATTCTTCATATAAGGTAAAACAACGCGTCTCTCCGTCGTTGGTGTAGACTGTCTGTTTGGTTTGTTGTGGTTCAGACACCTCCGGATGAAGCTCCGTGGATATCCGTTGAGTTGGAAACATTTAAATAGGTGCTTCTCTTCTTGTTGCTTTGCCTCCGTCGTACTGCAGTGTGTTTGCACTCTACCAAATAGTGTCCGCACACAGCTTACTTTGTGGCATTTCGGATGGTTACTGTTAAAATTCAGAATTTGGTCCGTATGTGTCCATTTCCTGTAAACTGATGTTTGCAGCCTCCCTTCCATGGTTCTGGTTACCAAGACATCCAGGAAAGGCAGTTGGTTTTTCTTCTCCATTTCCATTGTAAACCGGATGTCTTCAATGGTGTTGTTCAATAGCTGCTGTGCGACTGTAACTTGATTGCGTTTGATGATCACAAAAGTGTCGTCAACATATCGGACCCACAGTTTCGGATTAATGAGTTGGAGTACATCTCCCCGCAATTTCTGCATTACCATCTCCGCGATGAGTCCCGATATAGGTGATCCCATTGGTGCGCCTTTCAATTGCTCGTAGATCTTCCCGTTGAAAGAGAAATAGGTTGACAGACACAACTACAGTAGTTTGCATACGTTTTCGGTCGTTAGGTTCCCGATTGGGTGTTCACTGCTGTTCATGCGTTCTGTGATTACTGTTGTTGCCATTTGTAAGTTTACAGACGTAAAGAGGGCAGTCACGTCGAAAGATATCATTGTTTCATCATCATCTATTCGCAGGTTTTTGAGCTTTTGTAGAAATTGCTGGGCATTATTAATGGAATATTGCGATCCGCAGGTCAGATGTTTGAGGCGTCTTCACATTTCTTTCGCCAAGTTGTAGGTGGGTGTTCCTGGTAATGACACGGTCGGTCGTAATGGTGCATCATCTTTGTGTACATTTAGGAGTCCATAGAATTGCGCGATGCTCGAGTCATGGGCTCTCATTCGTTCGCTCTCCTCCTTCGTGATTTGATTCTTTTCTTGGAGATGTTTCAACGTTTTGTTTAATTTGCTTGCCAGCTGTGAGGTTGGATCGGTGTCAATGCACTTGTAGGTCGTTGTGTCGTTCAAGAGACGTAAAGCTTTCTCAGTGTAATCCTCGTTATCCATTATAACAGTCATCCGTCCTTTGTCTGCTGGCTGGATGATGATCGTTTCGTCAGACTTCAAGGATTTCAGTGCTTGTTTTTCTTGTCTGCTTAGGGTATTGTACTGCCTGTTGCGCATTATAGCTGGAACAATAGTGTGTCTTATTTGCTTTTGAGTCTCTTCCTCAATTCCACTGAATTGTACAGCGCTTTCGAATGCCGCCAGGAAATCTGTAGTTGCTGCATCTTTGAAGTTATAGTTTAGTCCCCTGATGAGGACTTGCTGTTCCGCTTCGTTAATTTGTCGTTTAGACAAACTTCTGATCCAGCTATCACTAGTAGTTCTGTCTTTAGCACAGGTCAGTTTTGATAATTTATCGAGAAGTGCAGTATGTTTCTTTATCCCAGAATTTGTTACCCGACGTTCTATTGCAGCGTCAAGTTGTTCTGCTAGTTGTTCTCGAAGAATTTGAAGACAGGTAGACCGGTGTTCGTCCAGACATCGTTCATATTTCTTCAGTCGATTGTGAGCGTCGGTGATCATCAGCCGTAGCATACGCCTGCCAAATTGCCGAGCGGCTTCCCACGCTTGTGGATGATTAATCGGCGGTTTGTAGTTAACACTGCAAGGAACAATGTCCTTTCTCAGGTATTCATGAAGGAAGAAGAGCTGTTGACTTGTAGAGGCTTGTCTGCAAGCGTAATTTTCCCAACGGCAAGCAGTGCGGAGTGTTGAACGCCCGTGAATATTTAAAATGTTTTGGAAAACTGGTAGCTCGGGTTGATAATTCAATTGCTCATTTGTTCGCCGAGCTGCGAAATTGGTTTGCAAACGTTTCACCGTCATGCGAGACGGCATCATCAGTGCGTCGAGATAGGGAGTGTAATCTCACTGATTGGATTGTCGACCCGTGATCGGCGTGCAGGTGACATTTCGAAAGTGACGGCTTCGATCTGAGTCCCGTGATCTCTACCCATTTCCCCGTGGTGGAGGTCGTCGCTTGGATTGTTCCTATTCAAGCGGCGTCTCATAATTTCTCTAAGTTCTCTCCGTCGGAGGGGTTGGTAAACCGGGTCAATCTCGATATGCATGTTGATCGAGTCTTGTGTTGAGAACCACGCTTCCAGGAATTCACTTGCTCTTCATGTTTCACCTTGTGCCAGGACTTCTGTGTTGGCCCAGTCGAAGCTGTGTCCTTTTTCATCCACGTGTGCTGAGACTAGCGAAGATGCATAGTGTCTTCTGCATGCTCTTTTATGCTCTTGTAATCGTGTTGTTAATTTTCTGCCTGTTTCGGCAACGTAGTCTTTTTCGCAACTTCTACAAAGTAGTCTACATACAACATTGCTTTGCTCATGAGCTTCCAGTTTCTCTTTCGGTTTCGACAGACTTCTTCTCAGTGTAGCATTTGGTTTGTGTGCTACGATGAAGTGATGTTGTTTGAATAGTCTTGCTGCCATTTCGGATATATTCTTCATATAAGGTAAAACAACGTGTCTCTCCGTCGTTGGTGTAGACTGTCTGTTTGGTTTGTTGTGGTTCAGACACCTCCGGATGAAGCTCCGTGGATATCCGTTGAGTTGGAAACATTTAAATAGGTGCTTCTCTTCTTGTTGCTTTGCCTCCGTCGTACTGCAGTGTGTTTGCACTCTACCAAATAGTGTCCGCACACAGCTTACTTTGTGGCATTTCGGATGGTTACTGTTAAAATTCAGAATTTGGTCCGTATGTGTCCATTTCCTGTAAACTGATGTTTGCAGCCTCCCTTCCATGGTTCTGGTTACCAAGACATCCAGGAAAGGCAGTTGGTTTTTCTTCTCCATTTCCATTGTAAACCGGATGTCTTCAATGGTGTTGTTCAATAGCTGCTGTGCGACTGTAACTTGATTGCGTTTGATGATCACAAAAGTGTCGTCAACATATCGGACCCACAGTTTCGGATTAATGAGTTGGAGTACATCTCCCCGCAATTTCTGCATTACCATCTCCGCGATGAGTCCCGATATAGGTGATCCCATTGGTGCGCCTTTCAATTGCTCGTAGATCTTCCCGTTGAAAGAGAAATAGGTTGACAGACACAACTACAGTAGTTTGCATACGTTTTCGGTCGTTAGGTTCCCGATTGGGTGTTCACTGCTGTGAGTTGTTAATTGCACTTGCCGTATGATAGGACACCGTTTCTAATTTGTACTGGCGTGTCGCATTTCGTGCCAAGATACTTTAGCCTGTTAGCTAGTTTGTAGGATTCTACTTTTAGCGATGCTTTTACTTCCGTCTCAACAGGTGCGAATAAGCTCAATCTTGCAAGGCCTATCAGTTGACCTGCTTCGTCCTGCTCGGTGAACTCGACGCGACACTTCGTTTTTGTCTGTAGGGAAACAAAATAATCTGCCGAATCACACGATTCACCATGGAAATAATGACAGCTGTGATTAACCGGGAATTGTTACACATACATAATATCGACAAATACTGGATTGCAAACAGGATAGTACCGTGTAGAAGGATATTTGGAGCAGCCTATGCGAACTTTGAATCATGTCTCAGTTTGCTCGAACGTACAACTGACTAAGATTCTCGAAGTGCTTTTACCATAAATTGAAATTTTGTCCTAGCCCCATTATTGCAATGACCGCAGACTTACAAAAAATAAAAGCATTTATTCAATTTCGTTTGTTAACCAACACGAAGACTAATCTGCAACATGCCAAGTCTCAAGCGGTTCTCCTGCATTCCTTTTTAAAGCTTTCAAACCATATCGAGTTTACCCAGACATAGTTATAGGGACCCACTTGTAAAATTAACATGGGAAATTTGTTGCTTTCCCTGTTTCTTTGTGCTTCATCTTTCGTAATTCTTTTCACTTAAGGTGCGTTACTACGACTTCGCATTTGCCGAGCCTAAAGTAATGAATAATAGCTCGGATGGGCCCAATGAATATTCTTTATGGTTGCCTTCAAGTTAGTCTGCGTACCTCCTTTGCAAGACTTACAAAAATAGTTGCAGTGTCATTAAACAAACGTTCTAATTTGTTTTCTTCCTTATCTGAAGCTGTTTCCAATGGAACAACACCATTTACTTAAGCAAACCTAGAATGGGACGCACAGTTGGCTTCAAACGCTTTCTATGCGAATGTAAATATCGTTTCAACTGACATCCCTTACATTGTTTTAGCTATTATGCTGAATAATATTGAGCGCGTACTTCAAAAGTATAATTCGTCCGTTCTCCCTCTATTTCGAGACTGGCTTCGCTGGGTGATTTGCGTTATTCTAGATTCTCTAAGTACTACGATTGCCGTCAATTTTCTGCTTAAGTCAGTTCATGTCATTTCGTGAGTTGCACATGCGCAAGTGGAGCAAAATCACTGCAGCCTGCTGTTGAATATTTTAAGTAGTGACCGAGGCCGCATGCTTTCCGAAATAAGCGACTTGCAGTGTGTACTAGATGATCCACGTTACGCAACTTGACTCTGTTTGGATAGCCTCAATATGCAACACATTCATCTCAGTGGTGACGTTATTCAAACTTGTAGTTAATGTTGAAATGAATAAAATTGAAACGAGAGCTTATGCCTTTGTAATTTAAGGAGTAAATGGATACGTATCTCAATTAGGATCCGTTCACATTGGGATATCATCATTAACGTGACGTGGTGCATTAAGAATGAGCGTGAGTTTGAATGTCCGCGGTTTCCTAAACCGTCCAGAGGTGTTAGTATTTAGCTGGCGTTCAATCACGCGATGGGTTCCCTTAATAGTGGGTAAATCTGTCTTACATAGATATTCATTGTTTTACCTACAGAAAGCTATGGTCCACATATTGCAAAAGCCCACGATTTCTGGAATATTTGGGATGAACAGATTTATATGCCGGTGGAGTTATAATGTATCGGGGCTAGATTGTACTGCCACACCTGAGCGAAGCGATCACCTACGAAAAAGGGTAGTGGCGCTACATTTGCGAAACCTTTATTCTGGAAAAGGTCATATCAAAATCGATCTTGAGACTGTGTAAATTGCCAAGCTACAAAGGATGTAGCCTGCCGCCTAGGAAATGGTGTTCCATTTCAGACAAATCTTCAAATGTGGGTTGGAGTACTGGATCGAGTGCTACGGATCGAAGATGTGGATCTTAAGCGAGCACATCAGAGCAGTGATGCAGTCGTACTACGTCCGGACAATAGTTCAGACAGCGACGCTCATCTAGCTAATGAAACTGCCGAACACAGTTTATGCAGTATATACAAAGGGACATGTAGGGAGATAATATCGGGACCCTTGGATCTGCTACCAATGAGTTCGTCATCGCCCCCTCCCAAAGTAGGATTAGTGGCGGAGCTTTTTCTGGTGGGCACAACATATACGCAAAACACATTTTCCGCCTCAATAATGAGAAGCTTTCCTTTATGTAAACAAAGGCAGGAGATCACCTGAACAAGTTTGCTGAACTGCAGCTATGTCAAGAAGCACACGCCTAGGACCCCTTCTTCGTAACGGAAAGTTGATCTTGCTCATAATTACTGACGTCGAAATCGTCATACATGTTTTGTCAGCGTTCAAAACGATCGCAACCAGCAACTGCGGTTGGGTACGTTTATACCACCGTGGTAATATACAGTGAGTAACCTTGGACGATCCGGATACGCTGCTTAAATTGCAAACTGTGATTTAGAGGCAACAGCCCTTTTCTAATGGTAGTAGCTTATGATCCTACTATGCCCACCATATGGACTCCCGCCCAACGTTAGCCTTGAGGAGGGTACTGCAACGACTATACAGCCATGTTCTTATCTCAGGCGAGTACAAAACTCGCCATTTGGAAGTTCACACACCACCCAGTGAGCAATTAATGACCAACTTGCAAGAGTTTATTGCAAGCGTTCCGCTCTTTAGCCATGTAGGTCCGCCCGCCCGAAGCAAAGTGGGAAATAAACCATCTCCGCTGAACTCATTACCCACAAACGAAGAGCTCATGATGGATAAGTTAAAGTTGGATAGCCCTCTAGGTCCGAGTAGTCACTAACTATACTGTACGATTGGTTTACTGTGCGGAATATCTACAGGAACATACTGACCTGTTCCGCAAACTACGCACTACGACGTACTAAGAGTACTTGTTAGAGAAGCCATCTTGGAATTTGCCGTTGGCTATTTCAGTGATAATGTCTGAGTGAATTTTCGTAGCAAACTAGGTGACCTGATTAAATCGCTATCGGAAAACCTGACCGCAAACTGTGCAAGAATATAGATAAACAACTAGGAATATCAAGAACAAATTCCCGGTTTTCAAACTGAAAATTTGTATTCGAAGAAAATTTTACCTAAACAGATATAAAAGATCCGCCAAATTCCCTAGTGACATAAGAGCATGCGAATCGCAACCAGTGTTTAAAAGAGAAAATTCAAACTGCCTCCTGGCCCAGTACGCAAAACAGCGTTGCAACTAAACTGCACTGAAAAATTTCTGCTTGTGTATGGGACCGAGACTTACGTTGAACGATTACAAATATGCAGAAATTTGCTACGAAGTTTGCTAAGTTGACCAGGCCTACTTGAATACGTGACTAGAAATCGGATGAAAAATTGACTAAACCACTTCATCCATCTCTGATCGATTCGGTTTCCTTCTTTACTCGATAACACGTAACTCACAGTCATCAATAAATTTGTATTGCTGAGGAATTATAAACTGAGCTTTAGATTACAACTTTGTCTATGCGCCTCAGTTTTTGCTTACTGAGCCACATCTACCTTAGGGACATAACAAACAGTGAGAATTGAGAAGGAAAGGATGACTGAATCTATCCATCTTCATTCACTTTTACCATACCATTTTCCTTGATCATGTATGCATCCCTGGTTGCCCTCATTTAAACTTATCGGGCAGAAGGTAAAGCTAACGAATTCTGCTTCCGAGATCTTCGACACTAATTCAAATATTTCACTTTTCTTTGCCCTCGTATTCGCTTATGTCAAGAGCACGGTCAAATCCAAATATCCGAGACAGTTGACAATTACCAACTTCCTTCGCCTGACACACGGAAAACGATCTCCCATTCTTCCTGCCACGGCAGATACGGGAGGCTGCTGAAGTGAAATTGGATAGCTACTTCCTTCTAAACTCTGTTTTAGAACACCACAATATATAGGAAATTTCTACTCAGAGCTGAGTGCCATGTTCAATAAGTATGCTTTAATTTTCCTCTTATCACAATATCATTGCTCCTAATCCTTTACCAAAGGAAAAGCAAATTTAGTTCCAACCATACACGGAGGTTTCCGGTAGGACGGGAATTATTCTGCGCTTTTCAAATGTTTCAAATGGATAACCATAGATGTTAAAAACACGATTTTGATTTCTTTTTAAGAATTGTAATATGCTGTACATTTTGTAAGAATAACTTGCAAAATGTTGCTCGTTCCGAGAGCCGTATGCCTCATATATCCTATTATATACATTCTTAATATTATTATTAACGCTATCACACATTTGGAGCAGAACTCGAAAAAGTATAGCGATAGGTGACGCAGCGTGGCATGTGTAAACAGTAATCTAAGCCCTGACAACTGCATCGCAACCAGTTTATCACACTTGTCCGTGCGGACAAATTGGTACACTAGTATATCCTACGGAAAGCTTTTGTGCTAACAACAAGCTTCTGTACAAACTTATGAACAGTCTCCGGAAAGTGACGCATGGTGTTTGCGCACTTAACTCAAAAAATGAACGTGCTTCAATAACATAGGGTGCATCCACATTTCGGTTGCAATATGAATCTATATTCCGTCACGCCATCAGAATGTGTCATACACCTCCCACTTACACACGTCACTTTTAGTTCAGCATCCGCTCTGAGGAAGCTGCATTTGTTGCGCTCCCATAGATTGCCCGGTGTTGACAACCTTCCCCCGGAGGAGCCACGCAGGATAGCTACGGGTATAGTTGCGCCAGTAACCAAATTGTTCCACAGTTGTCTGGATGAACAGCAGGATTTCAGCGTATGGAAGCAGGATGTCATTACTCTGATTATCAAGGGTGGTTGGCGTTCAGGGCCCGCCAACTATCGCCCAGTGATTTTCTTCCAAATGCTCACGGATTTGATGGAGCATGAGGCACTAACGGTCCATCTAGAAAGATTTAACATCATGGCATAGGCGCAACACGGCTTCCGTCAGCATCGGTCACTTACTACTAATCCATTGATTGCGCGTGGCAGTTGGATTGAAAAAGCTGATAATGGAACCGAAATTGATGTCAACTACCTCGACTTCTCTGCAACCTTCGACTGCTTAGATTAAAGCATCGTCTATCAAATGTGTAAGCACATTCTTCGAAGTATCGGAAATTTTCTTCTTCATCGGCGGTTCCAAATTTGGGCTCAAGTCTCAATTTCCGCGCCTATTGATATAAAAGGCGGTGTTTAACAATAATCAGTGTCGGAGCTGCGCTTATCTTTGGTCTTCATTAAATTTTGTATGTAATAAATTCCACGTCTCTGCTTTCCAATTATAATATTATATATGACTTTTGAGCGGTTGCCAGGGAGATCACGATTTGATGCAACGAGCATTGGACCGCGCCTTGAATACTGCGAAAAAGCTACCTATAACAATTTCGCCCATTCTGATGTCGAAATAAAACTGCGGAAAATTTCTTTCCGTTTAATCTCTCCAGGCAATTACAATTATGAACTTCGCAATCATTTGCGCAGTGGCTAGGATTAGGGGTGCGCACAAAGTCGTGAATACTGCGATCGGATGAACGGTGGCAATCTATGTCTATCTCAGACCACTACCATTGACCACTATGCCAGAAGTCAGGTGACCAAGCCAGGGCCACGGTAGAGTTAAACTCTGCATAAGAGCACGCTGTTTGCACTGTTCTGGCCTCAGTTGCTTGATCTCAATTGTTTCCGTTGTAGCAAGTAGGCGCTTTCTGAGTCCATTTGTGCAGCGTTTTGCTGCTACATACACCATTTTGAAGACCACTTTCGATTGATTTTTATGTTCACTATCTACAAGGTGTTCTAGGATGGAACATTGGACATTTCTGGTTGTACCACGTTGTAATGAGGCAGGGCAATGTTCCACTATCTGCTTTGACAAACGTAGGGCCCTGCGTAGAGGTATCTTGCACCATAGGTGCAAGTGAATTGATAAGGACATAGGGTTCGGCTGGGCCGGAATTCCATTTTTTAGGCGGTTGTCGATTTGCGGAACGGTTTCAGCGTGAATGCGGATGCTGGCGGCCTGATAACTTTGGTTTAGCGCGGAAGACAATTTCCTACTCAAGAGTCCGAACTGTATGTCATCTTTGAAACGCACTGATAAACATCTTTCCTTCTCATGGTCATTTTCGGCTCAGGCTCAACTCGGAGCTAGAAATGCTTTTGTTGAAAGCAGTTGGGTATCGTTGCTTTCTAATTTCTTGAGTATGAAAATCTTTTCCGCTTCCAGTGTCTCAGGGAAGCAAATCCTTGTAGACCGATTATACAGGCAACGTACCACGTTCCGTTTGTACTTTATCGGTATAAAACTGTGGAAGTGCGTGAATTGACACACCCAGGTTGGCTTGAGGAATACCTTGCTTTCAAGCGATCCGTTCTTGTTGTCGCAGCAACATATTCAAAAAACGCACCTGACTGTCCGCTTCAATCTCGCAATTGAAGTTCAACGATAGGTGCACGTTGTTAAATTGATTCAACAGGTGTGCATGATCAGTATGAGAGTAGCAAACACTAAGTGTATCATCCATGTATCGTGCTACCACCAGAAATGTCCACTACTCCATCCTAGAACACCTTGTAGATAGTGAACATAAAAAGCAATCGAAAGTGGTCTTCAAAATGGTGTATGTAGCAGCAAAACGCTGCACAAATGGACTCAGAAAGCGCCTACTTGCTACAACGGAAACAATTGAGATCAAGCAACTGAAGCTGAAATTGTGCAAACAGCGTGCACTTATGCAGAGTTTAACCCTCCCGTGGCCCTAGTTTGGTCACCTGACTTCTGGCATTATGGTCAATGGTAGTGGTCTGAGATAGACATAGATTGCCACCGTTCATCCGATCGCAGCATTCACGACTTTGTGTCGCGCCCCTAATCCTAGCCACTGCGCAAATGATTGCGAAGTTCATAATTGTAATTGCCAGGGGAGATTAAACGGAATGAAATTTATTCGCAATTTTCCTTTGTAATATACTTTCTTTCAGCTCGGACAACTGTAAAACTATACACTAAGCCACCGACACACTAACGCATTTAAGCTTGGAGAACACATTTACAGGACCGCCGCACAGCCGCGCAACAGCGTGCGGATTCAAGACGACCACATTTGTTCCGAGCATTCATCGAAGGCGTCCGAAACCACAAACCAGTATATTGATCTCTTGCGGAGTGCGTTCGTACGGTTCGACTGCTCTATCTTTCCCAAAATGTTGAAAGCGTAAGTGAGCCCAATGTAGAATACGTGATTCTGGTCTGATTATACGGGATAAAAAGAGATCTGATTTCATCCGAGAACGCACAGAGAACAGCATCCAAAAAATTAAAAAGGTTTCACCGGTCGTAATTCTATCTGCGACTGAAAACCACGCAATTTTATAGCGGAAGTTATCGCTGTCAACGGGGCTACCAAATTCTGGAGTTACGGATCTTGAAAATCCTGGGTCACAATAGCTACCACTCCTTGAAAATTAGCCGCAACATAAAATTGAGTAGTCACTGACTGAAACTGGCCATCTACTCCAGTCGGTTTTAATGCTATTGTCCCATTGTTCCACTGTACAGAAGGCAAATTGTTTTGACCACCTTTAACGCGGATAGAAAATCCTGTAAATTGCTCCCTAGGCAAACACATTTTAGTACTTTTGACCAATACCATAGATAAGTGAACCTTGTTGGGGATAAAAGTAATCCTCTGTAAAGTATAGTCCTCTCTGATGACTACAACTAATTACCATGGCAAACGAAATGGGTTAGACAAATTTTACAACAAGCATTGCGATAGATCCGAAGACACATTGCTCATGGTAACGTAAAAAGAGCACTACTATTTTTTAGATATCACATGAGGATAGCAATATAGAGGAAACATCACTTAACAAACCGGAAAGCTAACGCTGTTACCATTCAAGGAAGCCTATCTTAAAACTATCATATAAACTACAATCGGTTTCATACTTTTAATGTTAGATAAATGGGATGAACCGATTAACTCAGGTGTTTTTGTGGTAAATGTCCCCAACAACACTAAATGAACCAATAGTCACGAAACTTATTTTCAGTTTGCTGTGTGTACAGAACATGCCGGTGCCAGCTTTACGCGGGTAAAATTTACTATTGCAACAACGGTCAGTCTGGAATTATCTTCTCGTGACCATTAGCATCTAGACGACGGGAACGTTTTTTGGTTTACGAAGAAAGTTCCACATACCAGATTAGTACTTTTGTGTATAGGAAATGTAATTGCTAAAGGCAACTACCGCAACTGCGCTTATTCTAGTTGTTCAAAAGGTATATATTCATACGGTACACACAATTTAAGCAGAGATGTTCAAGCTTAGCCATATTATTCTCTTTGCTAAATTAATATTTATGAAGCAAGCGTTTAATTAAGCTCAGTACCCAGACACAGATAGGTGTAATCCCCTGAACTCATAATTAAATTCAATGTGTAATTTTACCAACCTTCAATATTTCGTCTGTCAACTATCAAAAAGGAATTAGAAAACCTTTCTTCTGATACAAGCATGCCAGTTGTCGCTACTCAAAGAAAATGGAACAAAGTTATTCTCTGTTAGTACTGTTAAACGTCTCAATCACTTTTCCTTGCAGTGTGGCGATTGATTAGCACCCTTTTCTCCTCATCGGATAATGTTTTAAGTATTACTTAAAATCTTGGTCAGAAGCTACTCACATGGAAATCAACTTCATTTAACAGAATTGTTGATCTATTTGGACTAAAATAGACATTAGTATATGCATTGTTTTCACGTTGTGGTGACAACACACCGGATAATGAAACGCTTGTGAAAGAGGAAAATGTAATCTAATAATGTCAATAAACCAACTAAAAGAAATGCAGAAACACCCAAATAATTATCCGGAATCACAATAAAACTTCATCGATTGGCATATGTCAAACTCCTGCGATTTGGGTAATTTACGCTTTCAAACCGTGAACAACTCAACACTTCGTTGCTTTCTTAGGTTTTGCTACACGTTTCCTAGGTGGATTATGTATAACTATTTAGTTCTAATCTACTTTCTTTGGCTGGTAGTGTGCGCGTTAAACTTTGAAGCATGATTGCACTTGCACGATGGAAAATAATTACAAAGTAGGCGCAAAACTGACATAGTATTTTATATATCATAAAGAATCCTCAGTCTAGGTAGTCCGGAGCATTTATAAAATCTGACAACAAAGCCGAATTTTTAAGACATTAAGGAACAAAATAAAATTTATTACGTTTGTTGACAAAGTTAAAGATTCAAATTTAGCTTAGTAATGTGAACAGTGGGAACGTAAATGTTCTGGAAAAGCTTTATTCACTGGCTAGCATATGATTTGTAACCCTACGTACGACAAATATAGAGTGCTTTTCTTGGTCAATAATCATATATAAGGAAGCTTGTTGCGCGGTTACCCACGAAATCGGAGTAGGAAAACTCTTAGTATCTAACTAGCTCAATTTGCCATTTTAGCGCAATTTTTCTTCTTTTCCATTGAATTAACTTTCATTTTTACACGCGTACACCAACGTTTATATCAATCATGACAAACTACCGTGTGTTCCGTAGGATGTAATTTGTAACGTAACGCGTCATTTTGTTTTAGTTTTCCGTTCAATCCGCCCTTCTTTTCGTTGTGAACTTGACTGCGAAAGTGGGCTCCTGCGCCTCGTTGCTCTCAGACGCTCGACCAGTTCCCGGTGTCTGCTTGCCAGGAAACGTGATAGTTCTTAGTGGGTGGTCGGGTTTACTTCCGGCCACCTTCGCTCTCTTTAGTTGCTGTTGTATGTCATCCGGTCATTTGCGATCTACAACTTGTGACGGATTCGAAAGAATGCTAAACCCCAAACCGGACGAATACTATGATATATAATTTAAAGTGACATCACGGAACATGTTTGTAGTTCACTGACCCGTTATTATGCCCCAAGCCATATCGAGCCAGTTTTAGCGGGTATGTCAATTGAAGTGAACTCCATATCTTTGTGGTGCCTGAATCATGACACAACTCTATTTAAAAGCGCTTACTGTGTTAAGGTTTTAACAGTTGTTACTTAATCATGACAGCAGGATTTTGCACAGTTGGAAGCGTCCGACATGAAACCAGATTCAGTCTTAAGAGCGAGCGAACGCTCCATATGCCATAATCAGTATTTTGAGAGTAAGTGTTTGATTAACAAGGCAACGTTACTAATTTTGTCTCAACACAGTGGTTTGGTGACACAAATTAAATAAGTCCTCTAGACAAGTTTGTTAAACTCACGGATTGAAGATAAGTTCCGCATGTGTCTGGGTTGAGCCTAAGGATTATCCTGACAATGTCTGCATCTATCCCAAATTGAAGGTAATATATGAAGCAGATTAATCAACATATTATTTAAAATAGTTGCCATTATAAATCTGACAAAATGAGCGATGTTAATCTAATGGTATTGGAGCACACGAATGAATATTAGAAATATATTAAGCGAAGTTGTGTCCTCTGACCACATCGTATGCACCAGATAAATATTGGCAAAACCAGTTTATCGTGTAAAGGAATATAATTTAGAAAACTTACAGATATGTTTTGGTTTATGCACTAAAAAACGGAAGAATTCTCAATAAAGCCTCTCTTTGCTATGATTCTGTATTGCAATTAATATTTACAGCAAAATTAGTGTGAAACTATTGCTAGTCAGAAAGTAGTTAAGCAAGCAGAAATCTTGGTATTTACCTAGGCGATATCTTAGAAAGATCAAACCTTGGAATTATTGTTTTAGTGCACTCTCACCTTTTATACATATGTTTAATCTTAAAACTTCATTAAAGAACATTACTGTGCTTCTTATTGGACGGCTCTTTATTCCTGTATTGGTTTGCTTAGAATTATTAATTTCACACTATCGAACAAAATTTCGCAAATTGGACGCAACCCCGGAAACTAAGCTTTACGATCTTAAGCATATATTAAGTGATGTTTTAGGATCTCCTTTGTCGTCTTCCTACCTCCGGACCTCCTAATGAGGGAACGCAGCTAATTTCTCGGAGCTGCTAAAATACAGTACATTTAAACATGGTTCTGTTTGTAATGCTAGATCAAGGTTTATCAACTCGCATCCGTTATTAAATATAACGATTTATTTGCGTTGGTTTAATTCATACAAACAGAATTTTATGAACGTCAACAAAATGTTGAGGTCAAATAAAAGTTTTACTGCAAAACCATGTCCTAACTTGTATCGATCGCTTATAATTTTAGCTTATTTGGCGGTCTTGTAAATAGTGTTGTATCGCCCTGGAATTATAGAACAAAGAACATCTAACGTGCCATGGCTTAAGTAATTATTCGTCTAAAAATGTTAAACGTCCAGTCCATACATTTTACAAGCTCCTCCCTAATGACTTAACTGATCACAGATGTCGTCTTGTAAACATTCAACAAATCTCTTTATGTTCAAATAACAGCTTACTAACCTAACAATTCTGGCCACCGCATTCCGATGAACTCAATGTCTTTTGTGAATACTTTACGTTCAAGTTCTTTGAGATTTCTCACTGGATCGCTCCCGTATTCTGGGTAGTCCCACGAAACTTCGTCCGCGTACTGGTATAGTGCCGTGCAATTGTGTTCAGCTCTTTTCAGTCCAGGTGGTTTGCATGCTACGTGAATCACCACGGCATCTTTAGGTTGTTGCGTTGAGAACTAAATTAGAAGACAGGTTACGAAATCTTGCGTCATAGGTGGACAGCACAGATGATTTGTATCCGGGTGAGAGAAAAGTTAGCAGCTTATAAACGGCGTTTTGGTTACTGAATTACGTTGCTTTTCATCCCTAAGCGTAAGCTTTGGTTGGCTGAATTTTACACATCTGGCCAGTACGAAATTCCAAATTGTAGTGAGATATTAACTTGGTTTAACAAATGATTCCTACCAAGGTCAGCTAAAAAGCTCATATTTAACCAATTAAATCCTTTAAACAGTGCTCATTTCATCCAAGGACAAAAGCTATTCGACACTAAAAACGCGATACATTGTGTCAGAACACTTATTCTGGCATCCTACTTACCATATTCCACACGTGTCGAAGTGCATCTGATTTGGTTCTAACCAGTAGTAAGTAGTCTGAAAACAAGTGAGTCAAGCCAAGGGATGTATTAATATCCCGATTATTGGCCAACTGAAAGTCTTGAGGTTTGCACTGATTAGTATTTGGTGGATTTAAAAATTGAAACCTGCTTGAGCATACCAGATTAACTTACTGGTCAATGCTTGTTGTGACCTTCGGAGAGCTCCATGGAATTTGCACAGTGCTCGCGCCACGAAATACTGTTATTCGGTAACCAACGCCGCATAAGCCAAAACTAAGCCGTATTTCAACTGCGTCCTAACGTGTCACAAACGGCGTACGTATGTAGCCTATGCCTGATTTCCATTGTCAAAACTAAGCATTTATCTCGCAACATGGCTTACTCACGTAATGCGCCTACATTCATTCAACGTATTCACAATAGTATACCGGCTTATGTTAGCCAATTTAAGCCGCATGCACCAGATATTAACAAGAATTAATCACTCGTTTAACTCATTGCTGGTCCTTACATACGATGCCGGGACCACGAACTAGAAAAAATGACCCAATACTCCGGCATGGATTAGAGATTATCCGTCCACCACTATAGAATTTGTTTAAACTGGAATGCATTATGCGTGTTGCAGTTCATGCTTTAAATACCGTGGTCTAACAAAGTGCTTTAAAAATAACATCATAACAGTTATAACATGTCACTTCTGAATTATTGAAATTTCACCCCTCACGCCGAAACTTTAAGACATCCTTGTTGCCTTTGCTTTCCTGTGCGTCCTGTCAATGCACAGCTTTTCAACTCACGCTATATTAGCTAATCTTTGAAATACTGTGCACCTTCCATCCACTCTTTTCATAGTGATCCTGCAGTATAAAACGTCCCAAGCAACATTAACCGTAACTGAGTTTTCCGTGAATCACTACCACTACGTGGCAGTTATTCGGTCTTAATACAGCAAACTTACCTACATTGTTTAAATATTTCGTTGTTATATGGATTTATATTGAATTTTAGTTAAGTGTGTGTGGAAGAAATGTTTGTTTTTGACCAAGTCAGTGAGCAAACACTTGTCATTAGCCAGTCTATAGTTCCTGGATCCCGTTGCAGTTGTACACGGTTACGTGCTTCGACTATTACCATCTTGCGTGTACACATGTCTGGGGCTTAGGTATTCAAAGCCATACCGACTTGAAATCCGTTTGCTACTGTACATGTGAGTATTTCGTCTGCTCATACCAGGATAGTCGCAACTATTGGAGTGTTTTCAAAGCTTTGAAGTGCACAAAACATAGTTAAGCAACTAGAGCATTTTATTTAGGACAGTAATACTTCATACGCGCTTTGTGAGGTAAATCTCGAGCTCAGCGAAAGATTTGCATTCAGGTTCAAGTATTTAGCTTGCATTTGATAAAAGCTATTTTCACTTGACTTTCTAACTAGAATGTATCGGTCTTTGTGCTCACAAATAAATCTACGTATGGATCAGTTTAGCGATAATTTGTCGTGCACTCCGAGTAATTACTTGCTTGACAAACAAAAATGCAAGTTTACCTTACTGATGAATAACAGATAAATTTGTAACAGGAAGTAATTCCTACAGAGGCTCAAGATCTAATATGCTGGGCACTACTGACTTCTTGAGCGCGAGGTAACTCACACGTCCATAGTTTATTCGAGGTACTCTCCACTAACTTCAGATGTTCGACATGATGATTCAAATTATAGACGTGCGTGAGCATTGGCCGTACTTGCTACAAACACTAGTGCAAACGACCCAACGGCGTAAATAACCCGCTTATACTTTTGATAGACAATGTATAGAATTACATATACACTGGTAAGTGCTTTAATCTAGCAGATTCCATGAGGTGTAAACAAAGCTTTCAGTATCACCTTAATTATATGCATAAAGTTTAAAATAGAATTTGCACTAACCAAATTTCCCCGGGGAAATTGCGTAATCTACAAACCATGGTCATCTGCAACATTATAATGATAGTTTGGCGACAACGCTGCTATTGGATCTAACTCCCAATGCTATGAAATTGTTGACATTTACTGATCGCTACAAGTTGGGCTATATTAGATGATGCCAACTAAATGCAGCGTCTGCAGCACGATTTCAAGAATTGTCCATAGCTCAGGCTAACAAAAGGACGGTTTTATCGAATGCGTTGATATTGCGTCAGTTTCTGTTCTCAACCCACTCGATGCAAATCCACTTGGAGGAATTGCAGGGATTGCCAGCATATTCGGACCGGTTCGTACCAAAGTGCCATTTAAATTGGTCAAGCCATTCACGAGGCACACGCAAGTTAGTAGCTTCCTTCTCGGATCGTACGACCACTTGGTAACGATGCAGGACTGAGCAGAGGCAGGCATTACATGTGATAGCTGGATACTGAAGTGGGATATCAAAAGGTCCATAATTAACAAACATGTACAAAGCCTTCATGCATACGCACTTGCAAACAACCGTAAGTCCGTAGCAGCAGGACATTAAATGACTACTGCTAAAAATACGAAATTAACTCATGGCGCCTACACGTCAAGGAATTCCCTGCACCATTTTTCTTATATCTAATAATTTTGATCCCACGGGAGCGTGGAAGATTTTGCTCCGAATGCGGACCGAACAAGATAATGAGCATTACAATGCCATTTTTATAGCCTTACTTTAGGGTATTCGTCAGTGCGAATGAAATCAAACCGTACAATGCTGCTATCTTAGCCTTTTCTTGCGTGTTTTTTAAAATGTCATTTGGACATACTTGACTGCGTGCACCATAGAGATAGTCAGGGATAAATGGACGAATAACAAGTCAATAGTCACCAGAGCATAAGGGCAAAAATCTTCCACGATCCCATGCAACCAACATTCTTCATGCGAAATCAAACATGAAGCTTCATCACCTTGGGGAACACTTTTCGCCTTCCCGTAAACAATCCTAACGCAGAGGATGAGGCAGTGCACGTAGCTCTGAGAAAATAATAGGTACCACTGATTCGTGAAAACCAGTTACCGTGCCGACTGGAGCTAGCGAAACGATTCCGTTCAAACCACAGCCTTAGTTACAGACATGTGAATGCGCTTCGAAAGTTGCAGCATGGAATCGCACCACTCAGTAAGATTGGTGGGTATACACACGCAACAAATAAATCGGACAACATTTCACTGCTCAGTATTGGCCTATTTCCAAGGGGTTACCGGCCTCAAAACTTAGACTTGCATCTGTCCCAACAACGTCAGTTTTATCCAGCATCACATTCGTAGCAAACGTGGTTCTGATTAAGCTACTATCCTTGCCAACACAGAGCTTTTCTGGAGTGGATAACCTACAATGGAAACACTGTACGCAGCATCCATTCATCTAACCTAGCCACTTGCCGTATGCTTTCAGAGAAGTCCGTCTGATCCTACCACTTACCGTCCGGCAAAACCTCTCTGCTTTCTCCAAAGACATGAAAGCGATAATCGCTGACTTAATGATGGGCTACTTGCAAAACGTAAGCGATGTATTGTTGAGATGGGTCAGTGATTTACGCTGCGAACAGCAGTTTAAGGTTAGATGCCAAACCTTTCTGACCGACCCTAAGCGAGTGGAGTGCAACGATTTTGCGAGAGCCATCACCTCAAAAATTATACTTTTCCCAATGACATTAAATTTGGCAGGCCAACAAAGGCATGGACGACCACAAGGTACTCCGTATGCTACCTAAATGGGACCTGGCATTGGCCCCTGATTAATTCACTGCCACTCAACGTGCTCAAGTAGAACGTTTTCCACATCCGCCATATGTACGTCTATCTCTAGCAAATTGAGGTATATAACCTGCAGAAAAGGCCTCAGGAACTTGACCTTGGTGTGCTGGTGCAGCACGTCCTCAGTTTTCCTAGGCAGATGGAGTCCGTTTCAAACGAAGTAACCAGCTTACGTTCGGCATTCGAAAGTTTGGATGCATTCATCTTCCCTATGATGCTCTATGCCAATGTGGGTTAACACGTCGAATACGCAATCCAGGCTGGGCACGCTTGGCCAAACCGTGAGATGCAGCGCTAAAAACTCACCTTGGTCGAGCAAAAGATATGTCAAGTGTTTATGCAACCTCACGTACCAGGAGCGACTAAAACACTCGGAATGATTAGTAGATACTACGGGTGGCTAGGTGGAAACCGCATACTAGTCTACCAGATACGGAACGACCCCATTTACACAGTTACCAAATACGGCAACCCATCCCGAACACCAACTTCATAGGCAATAGCCTGAAACTCAGCCAACAACACAGTCGGCTTTTCATTAACGCTGGGCGAAATTTTGCTCATAACGACTCAATGGTTCTGTCATAAGCAGCCACCAAACGTTTCAGTGCCTATACACTGTATATGCTATAGGACAGCCTGGACGTTAAGAATTCTATCCGGCCGGACGCAGCATTAACGTCATTCGCCATGGTATCAGTTTAGTCGTTAACACATTTGTGAAATGGAATAATTATTTTAACAGAAATGTATTGGTACGCTAATTTATGCTAGTGAAGGATATGTTCAAAATGTCTGCAGGCAATCTGCTTGCAGTGCAGAGACCTCTTGTTGCATTTAGCGAGCAGATTCTCAAATGTATACCTCATGCTCGCGACATTCGTTCAAAATATTTTTTCAATTGGGTTAATATACGCGGCCTTGGTTTGCACACTCGCCCGTTCCGATAGTCCCATAGAACGAAGTCCACGGGGTTCAAATCTAGTGAGCAAGCAGGCCACTCCATTGGTCCCCCGCGTCCGATCTAAATGCAACCAAATTTGTCGGTGAGGTAATCATGCACCGTTTTAGCACCATGCACAAGCGTACCATCCTGCTACCACCAAACGGTACTGCATGATTTTTGGCCTCCAACTGGGGAAGTACAAATGTCTGCATCATTTTCGTATAGGACGATGCTAGGAAATGATAAGGATTTAATATTTCCAAACAACAATCTACCGGTCACATTCTATAAAGTGAAATAAGGGCCCAAGAGATTCTGGCATGCTTATGCAACACAAACCATCAGTTTCACATGTTGGCACCTACGAGATGCGGTAATTTTTCGTCGGTTTTTGGTAGCCCAAACTTAATATTTCAGTGTTATTGCAGATGAAACCTTGCCTCGTATTAAAGATAACAGAAGGAATATCCCCGTGATCCAGAAACCATCGGCGAAGTTCACGCCGCTTCTTCGGATCGCATGGGTACAAAACCTTTATTTGAATTGCAGGGAACCTCAAAAATTTTCGTTCTGTTGATATCCGGTGTACCGCATATCGGTTCGTGTCGCAGTGCAGTACGATCTAGCGAATGCTATGGTCGGGACCTTTTGGCACCTCACTAAATACAGCGCAAGCTGAACGGTCGCTGTGTTGGTGCGAGGCGGTCCGGTTCTCTTCATGTCACACACGCCCAGTTTGCTCGAACTGCTTGATTAATGTAAGCACGTACCGGAGGTTGACGGGAGGCATTCCTGTATTCATTGCATTGTGTTTTCTTGAAGCTGATGCGACGTGTAAACCGCAATCATCGTGCAGCCGAATAATAAGCGTATGCTACCAGGCACTTTAGGTGATCCCGACTGCATTGTCTGCTCGTGCTCCATTACCTGTTATTCAATAAGGTTGACAGGAGTTGCGCTGCCTAACCTCGTACTCAGCTGAGCTGCCATCACTCGCGCATATTCACGCCGCCGTTTTGGTTGCCTATGCCGACTTCGTTGCGTAGCTAGTGAGACACACACAGATAAACCACGATCGCCCCAAAGCATCCGTTAGTCATGCCATGCAACACTCAGCGCGAAGTTAGCTGACTGCTAACGAACGTCGGAAACCCGTTGTGGCGGCCTGTACTCATCTCGCGCGATGATCAAAACGGCTTCATTTCGGTGCGTCTTAAGAGGTTACGCTTGCACCCAGCTGAGCCCTGCGCTAAAATAATCACTCGTCTTCCGAGAATTCCATAGGCCCTTACTACCAAGATGATAGATAAATTCATGTATCCTCATACGCAGTAGCCTGCGGCGTATTTCGCTAAACATTGGATGGCTATTGGATGTTGGGGCAACAGCCGTATGTGACCAGCCTGCACCACAACAAGTCACGCTGGGTTAATCAACACGCTCGTCGGGCTTATTCTGTAAGGCTAACGTTTTATTTCATCCCCACCACCACGACTTACGCACTGGCGATCTTACAAGCTTAGTGTGTAGTTGTTAAAATTACCAATAATTATTCTTGGCTATGCGTGTCTTGCCCGCGGGTACGTGAAGAAGAAACTGCCGTTATACAGACATATGTTGGTGGTTGTATCAGGGTCAGTCAGAAAGTGTTTAGACTATTATATTTGAAACCGTACAAATAGGACAGAAGTAAAAATGAAGGAAGCCCATTATCTTGAGTTCGCCTCATTCTTGTGGACACGGTCCGTCTGCCACTAATTGCAATACAACTTCAAGAACTAGAATGGATCAATTAAAATGTGCTAGTGAACGACACGCGCAAATGTGATTACGCGATAAGCTTTGTTCAATACAGTGTAGCGTAAAGAACAAAGTGGAATGCGCGGAAAATTGATGACGACGAAATAGGCAGATAAGAAATAGTTGGGACATATTAGGCATGGCAGCGTATAGTCCTGGTCAGCTTGTTTGTGCGAATTTATTAGCTGTGACTCTATTCATTGGCGGGTCACCTACGCTACGTCGCAGTGTTGTTAACGGACATTTGTAGCCGTTGTTATGGAGTGCGCCTACCAGGCGAAAACCCACCACGTCCTGGAACAATTCCATCCATGCATTTGAACGAGAAGTTGCAACTAGGAATGCTTCTTATTGACCGTTTATTGGTCTGTTAGTCGCAGTCAGGATACATCCATTAAAATTTCGGTGATACATGATTGACGCAGGGTTGTATCCTCAATGGATCCTGTCACAACCTGACAGGGTGGCACCACCCGTAGTTTAGGTAAAATATGAATTAAACATTTTGGAACGTTTTCTATTCGTCTTCTGTAGAACCGCGTAATGTCTCCGAGGGGTGTTCAGTAATATGATGTTGAACCAATTATTAGAGGAAGGAGAATGGCCAAACGCCATGGTTCAGGGTCGAAAAACCTGCATGTTTTCCGGAATAACGAACCTGAAATCAACTCAGGGGAAGTTTTGTTGATTGGGGACACTGACATCCACGGCCAACTATACAGAAAAGGCAGAGTGGGCTGTTCCAGATGTAGGGCGTTTGACCACAATACTGTGGGTGATGACGATTACAACAAATGCCTTGCCGGTTAGGAATCATTGGTTGCACTAAACGCAGTTTGTGGAGATAACAGTAAGTTGGTGGGACACAATTCT